TTAACGAGGATTTGTGGTCTATCAAATCTGATGTATGTCTATCTGGTTGGGGTGACACCCTTGACATACGGTAGTACAGCAGGCACACGCTCAACTGCGGTCGGCTTCACTCGGTTACTGTGACGAAGACGTGGGACCCGAAGCTTGATTTTGTGCAGAACCTGCTTGACGTGCTGAAGCTCCGCGGCCAGGTGCTTGTTCTCACAGATCCCATATGCTCTCTGTAACAAAGATTTGCTCATGGTAACTAACTGTGAAGGATTATGGTGAGATTCACCGCTTAAATATCAGTTTGTATGGGTCTTTTTTTCTATACACAGTGTGACCTATGATGTTGTTAGGATTTTGGATAACAAAAACATCTAGGAAAGCTAAGAAATTATTTGCCTCAGATATAATATCATAATTACTGAATAGAATTTGGCATAGAGAGTGGTAACGATGGATAAAATTCATAGGAACAACATCCTGATTTAATATTTCTTGGGCCATATTCATGAGCCGCTCTAATTTGTTTCTTGGTACTTGCAATAATGCCTATATGCATTCATCACTATCTCCTGTTCTTACTTTTTATCAAATATACAGCAAGTGCAAAGCATCCACTATGTTTACTTGACATTTTGGGCACTTCAGACAGAATTTATTGGCATTGTGCCTTTGATAAGCGTAGATAATAATGTACAGTATATTCGGGCATATTGTAAATATTTTCAAAGTCTATATGATGGTAAATATTATCTTACAATAATGTAGAAAAATCTATAATTTGTGCTACACTAAATGTTTTAATATGGTTATATATTAATTCTAAAAGTAAATACCAAGAGTTACTATTTAAATGGTAGTTACTGATTCTACATTCTGGAGGTACATAGTAATTGTATTCACAAAAATACATACCCGCAATGCTGATGGAACAGTGAGTTGATTGGAATTGTTACAACCAGGAAAAAACATTGATTTTGTGTGAGTGGTGCTCTTACAAAATTAGGCAGCAGTATATTGTATGATGTATGATCTAAGCTTTGTTGTTCTAGGTTCAATACATTACTCACTTTAGATTGCTACAAGGATGGACTAGATGATTCAGATGGTTCCCGTTCTAAAGTTTAACGTGTTGCTGCTTTATCAATCCTTCGCAATCATGACACTCACGCGATGACGATGGCAACTGAAATAATATTAAATAAAAAAATAAGACAAAGTGAACAAAATAAAATAGATTTGTTTACTTTAAACTCAAATATAGGTAAATGTTACTTAAAACTTAATGCCCTATATTATTTAATAATTAAGGACTGACTGCCTACCAGTAGTCCAAAAACAATTAAAAATCGACTGTCTTATTTCTTGGTATTTGATAAAAATTGTCCATTTCGTAACTATCTGGTGTTAGCTAGCTAATCTTATCGCCGTGTTACAAATCAGCTATTTTGTTTGTCAGGTATAACTTGTGCATATGTTAAAAAAATAAAACAACTTCATCATTTCATACATTCATCACTATCAAATATCAGCACTAGAATTAATAAATTAAAAACTGTTGAACACTTACTTTTAACTGTTGTCACACTATAATGTGATCGACAATCTCACTCCATATGAGTTCTTGAGAATTTATTTGAAAAATAACAAACAAAATAACACAATGGCAACTATTTAGTTGTGAATTCACTAGTACCTTTTTACTTGTTGAATTGTGATTTCATTTCGCATGACATATTTCCTATAGCTGTCAGATTTGATGTTGCCACATAACTAACATAAATACAACGAAACGATATCGATTTGTATTCGATTAGTAATTTAATGAAAAAAATAATAATATTTGAGTTTCGCTTTCAGTTCTACACGCTTTTTAAAATATATTTTCTTTTATTTTTTTAAATTATGTTTTAAACGTATTTTTTAAGAACAGTTAAAATGTGGAGTAGCGTATTGTTATGCTCTAAACAGTTCATGGTAAATCAGCTAAAAATTCACTTGTTTAATTATCATAACATGATTCCATTTTAAATGTATTGTTAAAACAGATAACAATAACAGTTAAATTGTGCAGTAGCATTTTATTGTACTCTAAAGAATTCATAGTAAATCAGCTAGTAATTCGCTTGTTTAATTATCATAACATCATAATATCCATAGCGATTCGATTATTATTCGATTAATAATTTCATAAAAAGAGAATAATCTTGGAGGTGTTTTAACTTCTGCTCGCTTTTTAAAATGTATTTTCTTTTTTTATTTAAATTCTATTTTAAGTGTATTTTTAAGAACAGTTAATTGTGCAGTAGTGTTTTATGAAGCTCTAAAAAATTCATGGTATATCAGCTAGAAATTCACTTGTTTAATTATCGTAACATGATTTCATTTTAAATGTATTGTTAAGAAAAGATAAGAATAACAGTTATATTGTGCAGTAGCGTTATGTTATACTGCATAGAATTCATTGTAAATCAGCTATTAAATCGCTTATTTAATTATCATAACTACAGATGTGAAGGCGGTTGTTAACGTTTTCAACCAAGCCGATAACAACGGTTGTTTTTGTCTTGAAATTGATAAAAATTGTGCAGTTGCGTTTTGTTAAGCTTTAACCTTTTGAGCGCCACACCAAAAACGCATTACCGTGTCCTGTACGCCAAAGCGCCAAAACAAAATAGTGTTGCCAAGAGTTGATATATCGATAACGCGAAATAACTTGTTTTTGTTGGTTTTTTATGCTATAAATGACTCTTAATAAACTGTATGTTTTATTTAATCTTGTGCCGTCTTCCACTCTTTTTATATATGTACTTTGTACATATAAACATAAATAAAAAACAAACAATAACAATAAAATAGTAGTAAACATTAGCACTACTCTCCATCCTAATGACGACACTGTCGCGACTGGACGACAACGGCGTAGCTAACCTTCCCTTTTGAAACATTCTTAGAATGTTGTGTATCGATTTCAAAATCGATCTAACCGAAATATACAGACATCGATTCATAATATTTAATGTGTCGGGGAAGGCGTAGGCCAAGTGACGCACAGAAGAAAAGTCTTACACTCTTATGACAATGGGGATTTGATATGATGCTGATACTGCTAGATGATTTTGAGACTGAGAAAGAAAATGGCACAACACAAAATGAAAAATTGCTCTTCACACCCTAAGTAAAAAAACATTAATTGTAATTTTGTATTATTATTAAAAAAGGTACATAATTATTCATTAATCAACAATTGTATATAATTATTCGCACTAGGTAAATCAGCCTTATAATACTAAAATCTTGGTCATGGAATAAATAAACATATTTGTTCACCAATCAATCAAAAATTCAATTCATCAATCAAAAATCAAAATTCATCATCATCGACGCTTTCCAAAATCCGAATGAGTACTGAGGAATCGTTCATGTTGCATTGCTCTACTTTTCTCGGTAATCACTTATGACGTCATCAGGGTGTCGTCTATCCTTGATCACGGTGCCCAGTGAACTGATTTTCGATGACGCGCTAAAGATGCGCTAGAGTTGAGATATTAGATTTATTATGCGAAGATAATCTGATAACATTTTTTTATTCATGTAGCTAATTATAGTTTTATGTTTATAACCTTTAATTTTATTCAAATATCAATAATAATAGAAAAAAAAAAACACCATTGAGCTGAATTTTGGATAGTTTTCAAGAAATAGACGACTTTGGCGTGCTGGACATAGTATTTGTTTAGATAAAAATCCATTTTTATTAGTTCAATGTTTCTTAGTACTTGTGGCTCTAGAAGACTTGTTTTTTATACTCACATGTTGCTGGGTTATTCCTATTTTGAGGAGTGTAGAATTAAAATACCTGTAATAATTTTCCAATATCTATATTTCATATTTTTCGGAGCCGGGTTTTTTGTCAACTATAGACGTCGTTGGCGCTCAGGTCCCGCAGGTGTTGGTCAAGTATAGGCGACTTTGCCGCTCAAAAAGGTTAAAGTATTCATGGTAAATCAGCTGGAAACTAACTTGTTTCGTTATCATAACATGATTCTATTTTAAATGTGTTGTTATAAACAGATAAGAATAACTTAACCGATCTTCTTTAAAAACAGATAAGAATAACAGTTCTTATCTGTTTTCAAAGAAGATCGGTTAAGATTAACAGTTAAATTGTGCCGTAGCATTTGTTACTCTCTAAAGAATTCATTAGAAATCAGCTAGTAATTCGCTTGTTTAATTATCGTAACATCATAATTATTTAAAAATTATATTAGCACTGTAATGATGACACCGTAAATAATCGATCGAAAAAGAGAATCGATTTTTTAAATGTGTTTTGTGATTGGCAACACTTTTTTTTTATTCACAAACTAATGACATAATGATTTACCTAATTTTTATTATTATGTTTCCGGTACTTTTAATTTGTGCAAAAATATTCCCATTGTTTGAGGATAAATGAATACCGCGATTAATAACCATAAATAAAGATATAATTTTTTAACAAATTCACATTGTTGGGCGTTCCATGGCCGAAAATGGGCGTCCCCCTTTGTGCCAGAACTAACCAAGATATATTATTATTCTACATACGAGTATAGGCATAGTATATTTCATTTGACAGGAATAGAATCCAAAAATAGTTCTTAAGTAAAAATACAAACACAATTATTAACGACTTACATAAAAATGAGCAATAGCAGAAAAAGGTAATATTTAAAAAAATTCAGATAATTATAGCTTTTATATATTTTTTTCCATTGCTTCCGATAGCCCCAACTGAATTTGTTCCAAAAACCCTCTCGAGATCTACTTCACTTTTTTATGCGATTAGACGTTGTTCCGTGTTCTTGACGAGTATAATTTTTTACCTCTTTTGACCATACGTAGCGCCAATCAAATCGCCGAGCGAATTCCTTAGTTCTAAAAAAATACATTGCGGTTCAATTTAGTAAGCCGTTCGTTTATATAGAAGGCTCATGTATTTTCGGAGCGGAGACCTAGACCTTCGGTAGTTAAGGAGGGCGCACGCGCGCGGCCCGCAGCAGAGTGTCCCGCGTGTGCCTGCGCGCCAGCCGCACGACTATGGGACGGGGCTTCGCTAGCCTACTTTGCTCGTCGCGCATAGGACCGACTCGCACACAACTCACTATATCGCGCTCTTCTATGGTTACGCCCAGCTTAGTAGCGCACGCAGTCACAATGTGTAGAACATTTTCTGCGCCCTCTTCTGGAATGCCTGCGACTTCAATATCATTGTACAGCAGCTCTTGGTCTCGATCATTTAAATCTGCTCTCAAGTCCGCAATAATCGTTTCGAGATCCTGAATTTTGCCGCAGACGTTTTTGGACTCAATTAGGGTTTGTTGTTCTTCAAGACGGATGTATTTGTTTTCTAATGTATCTAGGCGTTCTTCACACGATTTTATGGAATTACGCAAATCAAACATCTCCTGTCGGAAAGATCTAAATTCTTCCCTAGTTTCTCGCAGTTCTTCTCTAAATTTACGTATTTCAAGAGCTAGTTCCGACTCTTTGAAACCTTGCACCACAGGGCTTTGGGGTTTCTCTTCGCCTTGCTTGATAATATTCTCGGAATTAAGTCCTCGCACAGGCGTATTCTGATCTGACTTTCGGGGCGTCCGTATTTTACAGTCCGGACACAACCAAGTAGGTTGGACCTGCACACCTTCAGGAACTTTGACGCAGGCCCTGTGTGATTTTCTATCGCATTTAGGACACGTAACGCCCTCTACCGCCGCCATAAACTTTCCGCACGCACTGCACTTCATCGCGTTAGTTTAAGTTAATTGCAATGTAATGATGCAGATGATTATCACTAGGTGTCGCCGACTATATATTGTAATTGACACTTTGTAGTTCGAGGGTAAATAGACGATGTACATTAAAGTTATTAATAAAGGTACCTCTTATATTTCACTTTTAGATGTTTTATTTCAATTTTATTTCACCACAATCCTTAAGCACAAACAAATGATTAATTTATTAACATATGCACCTGTTTTTAAAGTCCAGAAAAAATGTTTCAAAACATCGATATCATAACTTTAGACGTAGATATTAATTTTTATTTCGCGACAAGCTTTGCGTACTTCTTGTAGCACTGATATCCGCAACGTCACTCGTAACTCTTTCATAAATATTGAATACCCTCAGAGATTAGCAAAATCCATCGAATTCTGTATTTTTTTATTTAACCAAATACACTTTTAAATCAAAAAACTTTAACAAAAACCTATTTCCATATGTACGAGAGTTATCCCTTATTGCAATTTCACCCAGCGATTCGACATATCGAACACGATATAATAATAAATAACGACTCACGAACAACTCTTGACAAACAACATTTTCATTCCATTACTTAAACTGTTTGTGTGTCCTTTCAAACTACCATAAATAACAAATTCTCTTTCTTTCTCTCTCTCTCTCTCTCTAAATAATTGTACGAGTACCAATGCCATATTTAATGTCTCCATACAGTAAAAGTATTAAGTCGCTTAAAACAAAGGAGTCCTTCAAGCTGGATATGAACAACTAACTTATGGATTGACAACTGATCCATGAATTCTACTTGACAGACAATGGCAAATTTCTCCCTTATGATGCAATTTATTGAAGATATCTATGTTCAGCAGTGGACGTATGATAGATATCGATTTAAATGTTCATTTTCAGTAAATTAACTCACGTCAAAGATTTTATCTACGTGATCCTTAGCATATGCCGGAAGTACGGGAGGTACCGCCGCCCGTCCAAGTACTTCATATACTTCCTGCACTACAGCCAGCATCTCCGACTTGGAGATCCGCCCATCACCGTCGACATCGTACAGCGCGAAGACCCAGGAAAGTTTCTCTTGGACAGAACCACGTGCAACCCGTGACAGCGTGTCGAGAAACTCCTGCAAAATATTTATTCATGACATCCAATGATAACCAAAATGGGGCGTAAATATAAACACCGGCCAATTATTCCACTTCTTTTCTGTACACGTTTCGAAAAACGAAGCCAATCGTTTGATTCCATTGCGTAGAATATTGACCACATAGGAGGACCAGCTGACCGTCTGGTTGTCCGATGGTGGAAAGGGAAGGGAGGAATTAAATCATATATTTATTGGTCGTATTTATTTATTAAAAACCTTTGTTCCAACAAAATTAATAATTTTAATTAAATTTAGCGTTCTTGGCACTAAACCGCGGGTAGTTAGTACTGTATAACAATTTGAGCTTTTATTTTTATTTATTTATAAATAGTTTACCTGAGAGTGAAACAGACACAATAGTTAAACAATTGAAATGTTCATGTATTATTCACGGGACAATAAGGGCTTAAGGCAATAAATATTTAATATTTCAATTTAAAATAAAAGCATTTCGTGTTTTTAATTTCTTCTCTCGGTAGGTTGAAATATTTAGGGATTCCACAGAATGACCAATATTAACATTTACAAGTAACATAAAAAGCTTATCTCGAAACTTAATTTGTCTCCGTGCTTGTGTTTTACGGCATTGAACACGAAATGAGCGTTTTGCGATGCATCTGTATGTAAAAGACAAAATGGTAACTACTTCTCTGCAAGAACGTAGTTAAAGAATTCAGATAGCGTGAACAAATCGAGTTAGATTAGTTTAGTTAGGCAATTTACATACTAAAATTGCATAAACTATGTACGCACCAAATGTTGTTACAATGTAAACATAAGAAAGTTATTTTTGTACAAAGAAACGGTACGGTATGGACTCGTGTGTATTATATAATAGTACGTAGAAAAGGAGCCCTACCACCAAGTATTATATTAGTATATTTCGTATACGAGTACAGTTATAAGTAAACAGGTTTACTTTGTTCAGAAACAAGTTAAGTTCTCTAACTAATAAAAAAAGGATTTGTGAAAGTACTAACCCAAGTTTGCGGTTAAGTTACAAGACGACGATGTTTTTAGATTTGAAATTTGGAAATGTTTTTGCCCACATAACTATTTACAGGATTTAGTAAACTATTGGCGTTGTAGTTTGTTGATAATATTAATGTGACAATCGAGCATACAGTCTACCTGATTGTAAGTGGTTGGACCACGAATGGGTTGACTTGACTGGGGAAGGACCATGCTTTAACAGAATACCAGTGCGAAATAACAGCTAAATGTTGCCGTGTTGTGTGTGATGAGTGTAGAGAACCGGAGGCCCTTTGTACTGGTAACGAGGCATTGCACCTTTTGTTCAGTCCTCAAGTGTGATGACGCATCTGCATTTTGATTTTTGCACGCAGATAGTCTATGGGCCATAGCATCCACTGACCATTAGCACTGTGTGCTCGTTTGTCATCCTTATTATATAAACAGGTCATACTCTCACTTGACCGGCGGAAATTAAAATTATTGCGTCGAAAAATAAAGAGTTGTCATTTCATTTTCTTTCGAAGGAAAAGTTTCTTCAATATAGGAAACGAGCATTAGTCTGTACTTCAACTTAAATACTGCCAACTATGATAATGGGTTTTCACAACTCGCGATCACTTAATAATGATTTAAAAAAAAGGACTGCACTAAGTAGGTTTCCTATTAGAGCCATGATAGCTCAGGGGCACAGTGCTCGTCGCATATATAATACATGGGCTCTATCCCCGCCGGTACCAATGAAATTGTTAATTGCAGTTATAAGTGACTATTTACAACGTACTCAGTCGTGAAAGAAAACATCGTGGAGAAACCTGCATGAGAAATTAAAAAATTACATCGAATACCTCAATTCCCTCGTGACCACGGGTGCTGTCAAGAACCAAGTCAAAATACCCCGCGCGTGCACTGAGACAAGCTGAGGGGGAAGCCTGTGTCCAGCAGTGCACCTTTGATAGCCTGTAATGATGATGAAGTTAATTATATAGATATGGTTTAATGATAACAAATTATCGTTATTATATATCATTCATAGCCGCAGCCAAAACTTGTGCAAAAAGGAAATTACTGTTTTTTATCCTATGCTGTATACTGTGCTTCTTCAGAATTATGTCTTTATCTTAAAGACTCATAACTAAGACCCTCTGCCCTGACAAGGGTCCCGAATCATTTTTTACCCTCTTAATTTTGACAACAAACATTACAACAGTTTCCTCTATCTAGATGCAGGAGTGTATAAACTAGATTGTGAATGGGGTCTCTCTTACATAAGATAAACAAAAGAATTCCGCGTAAAAGATCATATAGCTGACGTGAAGCACCGACGCTCCCGGAAGTCTGCTGTCTGTGAACAAATCCTTGCAAAAGAATTTTGATTACTACCATGGATAATACGCGAGGCTATTGAAATTGAAAGACATCCTAATCTCATTAGAGAAGGTGGATGGGTACTGCCATCTGCTTGGGATCCCATAATTAACAAAATTTAATCCAAATACAAGCATACCATTGCAAGATTTCAAGATACTGTAAGCTCGTTCTGCGTAGACCGAGACAAAAATTAGTATTAAAAAAAACTGGAGGTAGCCGGGCTAACTATGATATTTGGACGTAAAACATTGGGAATTAAAAATAAGCTAAAAAATATGTTAATTAAACTCGATAAAATCCGAATAAATAGTTTTATTCAACAAACAGTAATTAATACAAACTTCTGGGGACCCATCGGATATATTAGTTTTAGTTTTTATATTTTCTGTAGTTTTTTTTGTTTTTGGAATAAATGCGTTGACTCGATTGAAAAAGGACCTATGGACGCTATGTTTCCTATCGTGAAGGTTAGAGAACAGGAGAACGATCGCCGTAGAAAATAGTGTCCCAGAAATATGGACACCATCAGTGAGGCGCTGCGATCGCAAAGTTCTGTCAATAAAAGTCATTTTCAGTCTATTTTTTCCGATACTAAACCACTTGCACATCCACGCACAATAAAATATTTCTCAATTTTTTTAATGTTTCTTATTGGCAAAAATTACAAAATTACGGAGCATGAAAATTTTCTCAATAAAAATGAAATGAAAATTTGTACATTATTCAACTAACTTCACCTACCTGTACTCATAAACAGCTAACTTCGCAGTCACTACTCACCGACGTCAGCGCCGCTATACATTCTACAATTTTCAAGGACAGGCGGGCTATGCTTTGGTACGTAGTGATCGTTCTCCTGTTCTTTAACCTTCACGTTTCCTATGGTGAGTGTTGAGAACGAGAGACACTTTTTTACTAAAAATGAGGTATAACATAGTCTTAACTAAATTGAGGATAGATGTAGATATTTATGGGCATCAGGATCCACTTACCACCACATGGACGGTATCAGCGTTTTTCGTCCTTATTAGTATAAAATAAAAACGCTCATTATTTTATAGGTTCAGTCTTTTTTTGCCTACCCTCATATTTATTTCGGCTATTATAACTACTGGCTGAGAGGCGTTCTATCTTAGAGCTGACAGCGCATCTGCAGCTTTATTTTCATTAAGTTGCAGATGTTCATAAACTACAGCAGTCACTTACTATCAGGCAGACTGTAAACTAGTTTTTATGGATGTTATCGCGTATATTAACTTATTTTATATTCGCATCGTTTTCGTAATACTTAATTTCCGTAGTTAGTTAGTTAGTTCCGTGGTCCGATATAACCTTAATAATCTTATAGCGTTTTGAAGTCTTGCAGTTATATGCTTGGGTTGGGATTGAACTTTGTTAATTGTAGGATCCCAAGCTGAGAAGGTAGCATTCAGCCATTTTCTCTATTGAATGTCAATAGAAAATCAACTATCTGACCTGTTTGAAGCCGCGGTATATGAGCTTGATCTCGTGGGCAGTGAACCGGAAAGCGCGCGCCAGGGCAGCGGGTGACTCGGGACGGTACCGCACAGGGAGGCTCGTGCTCTCCTCGCACTCTTCCTCTACGGACAAAATACATCAAAGATACAACTTGTGTAGTGTACACACTGCCTAGTTGGTCCAGTAGTTGTAGGTGCAATAGCTGGTCATAAGTTTGAATTTCGGTTGTGCAAAATTAATTATTGCGTTTCTTGTAAATAAACTCTAATAAACAGCCCGTAGTCAGAAGGTTGATGATTCTCTAACCTGCATTTGGCACATAAAGCGTTAGTACTGCGCCTGATCTTGTCGATATTGCCGTATCATCGGCCTATGAGAGTGAATGAATAGAGAGTGCACCTGTGCTGGACACACACTCATCATGTCCTACGCAGTGACCACAATTTGGTCTGAAACACATTATTATGGGGCTAATCTGGTAGTGCTGAAATAATATATAAAGAAAGATAGTTGTACACAAATATACATTAAACATAGTAAAATAAATAAATATTACTCAAATAAATAAAAACCCAACCAGATACCACACAAACTAATTTTATTATTATTGAATTTGGCATTTTTTTTGGCAATAAGGTGTCTAACCTTATGCGTGTTGACAGTCCTCATATATCTTCGGAATATTTCTTTTATTTTTACACAGTTTGAAACTCAATTTTTCTCACGGTGTATTCCTTTAACACTCAGTAATCGTGCAACATTTATTACAATTACAAAACATGATTTAATTGGTGCTGGCAGTGTTCAAACCCAGGTTGCAATGAACGAAAATGTCGTGAGGAAACTGTGCACGTCTGAGGAGTTGAAGTTGGCAGGCAGGCGCTGCGGCAGATGGGGTACTGATCAATAACTGAGTCATTAAGAAGTGTAAGGAGTGTTGTACCCAGCAAAAGTAATATTATTTGTTTATAATATATCTTTACTTGGTAGAGCAATGCTGCAGATATGATATGTTTATAGCACAAATGCGTCAGCTCGACCGGGAAAGAGCCACGCTCTAACAGAATATCAGCGTTAAATATCAGCTAATTGCTGCTGTTTCTAATGGTGGATGTAGAGAACCGGAGAACATTATTAATGGTAACGAGGCATTCCATGCTAGCCCTTCCAAGCTGCAATTTGATTTTGATTAAGGATAAAATGTGAATGGAATGGAATATGTGCTCGTTTGTTACTCCTATTCTATAAAAATATATGATGAACTTTACATACGCACATACACACAAAACTTTACATACGCACATACACACAAAACTTTACATACGCACATACCTACACACAAAACTTTACATACGCACATACACACAAAACTTTACATACGCACATACACACAAAACACGTACCCATTTCTGATTTGGTGTACCCTTCAGTCTTCACAAAGTACCGGACTAGAACTTTCACACTTATAAACTTGATGAGGAAGTGGTTATCCTTAACGCAAAATGATAAATATTCACTGGTTATTTATGTGAATAGCGAAGAAAATAACTAACCATACAAAAACAACAGCATATTTGTCACTTAATTAAAAATGTTGTAAAAAAAATACTTTGTATTTAAGTATTTATACGCGGAGTATGTGCGCAATAAGGTCTTTATAAATTTACGAATGGTATTTAGTAATAAGTAACATTTTGTAGGTCTTGCGGTAAACACATCCAGTAGGTGTAAATTAACTAATCGACAAAGAAATAAAAAAAACATATTAAAAAAACTATCTAAAGGAACATACAACATTTGTTACAAAAACCTAATATTTAATAATATTGATTATTTAAGTAATACTTTACTTTAGCAAAACATATAATATATTATAATAATATGATATATTGTTATAAAAACGCTTAGTAACAACCCGCTGTCAAGGTACACCTGAACCTCTCGGTCAAAGTTGGACTTACCTAATCGGTTGTCTCAGGTAAACATATTCGTCAACAACTTTGAGCTTAGTGCTCAACAATTACCGGCTTAGGTGTGACATAGACGTTACACATGATCTTGATTTTGTCCATGTTCATCTTAAGATTTTTAATTGATGATTAATAGTGTCTCCCAACGGATAGATCGTTGGGAGACACTATTGGGCACAGTACTTAGGTCCTCCAGCGATTCTTCCATAACGATTATATCGTCGGCAAATCGAAGGTGAATGATGTACTCGCCATTGATGTTCAAACCGTATCCTTTCCAGTCCACAAGCTAGAAAACGTCTTCCAAATCATCGGGAAAATAACGTCACCCTATCTTACACCTCTCTGCAGTTGGATAGGTTTCGTACTCTGGTCTTGTACTCGGATAGCCATTACGATGTCTGAGTGTCTGTACTCTGGCGTATTAGGCAAGCTTTTTGTCAACCGCAAGTCTTTTTAACTTGTTATTAGAAAGACTGTTGCCCGTCTCCGGATTTGTTTCAGTCTGTCTCCTCTTACGACACCGACGGGATGGGCTCGTGGACATTCTGACAACGCCACGACACGGTGTGACTGTACCGTTATCCACTGGAAGCCATAAATGTTTTCTGGCATATTCAACTATGTTTAATCATTACAAAGTAAGATCTATTCACATCACAATTGATTGCAATCTCTACGTCAATCACTTACTTTTAAGAAGTAACTGATGTGAGCTAAAATATTATCCATGAACAATAAAACCTGCCTATAAAAATTAAAACTTAATCTACAGTTAAATAAATTGGATATAGCAATGGTAAATCGTTAACTATATAATTAACATTATTTTATACTTAAAGACTTCCCCCATAGATTGCGTCAGAAGATTTCTTGGCAAGGCGAGGCAACCGCAATTGTTGATTAATTTCGGGTTATATTATAAAATTCATACCCTACTTATCCACCGTTATGGGTGAAATTTATTTTTCAAATTTATATGATTTATGAGTCATCGTTTGCGACTCTTATATCACCTTTTATAATTAAATTAGTTTATAATTATGTAGTTTTAAGATAATTTAAGTGTTAGTGTGAGTGGCGTATAAAGTACGCACGTGTGTGTTTTTCCGCAGTGTTTCTGTTTCTGTTCTCCTCCCATTTCTATGTGGCACTCATCACAAACTTAAAGTAACAACTGTGTTATTTGTCTAGCTTGTCGCCGAGGACAATAATAGTACTCGTGTAACCGTTCAGCACTGGATACTTTGTAAACTTCTACAAAGTAAACATTCTATCATCATCAGTTCACTAATTGTAGCCTAGCAGTTCCTAGTTTCCTGTTTGTCTCGTGTTTATATGGGAATTATAACAAAATGGGATATTCTAATTCTGGTAGCTCATATTAAAACTAACGTTCGTAGTAAAAAAAAACAAAGATTATTGAGAAAGAAAACATTCTGTCGTCATCAATTAATTACTTTTATCCTACAGTTTCTTAGACAGTACTATTTTTCGCGTGTTTTTTCTGGGACACATAACAAAAGGAATAAGCAGTAAAAATCCACTAATGGGATGTTAAGTTTGTGATTGTGTAGACAATGTGTTGCGACCTGTCGATTCTTTCACAATTTTCAAACAATCAAAACACAGATCTGTTGTCTTTGCACTTAACAAGTTAATGAGCTAGATTAAAGAAGCCACATTACAGTTTATCCGTACGATCGAGAATTATTGAAACGTTTTACAGTGTAAAAACTGACTTCAGTGAACAAAAAGAAAATAATCATCAATCTCAGTTAACGTGGTAAAAAATTATTAGCTCTTACGTCTTTCAAATACCTTTGCAAATAAAGAGTTTGATAATGTTACAATAATCATCATCATATCCTTACCATCTATCATCAAATGCTGAAGAAATTTATATAGAAGAAGAAGTCAAAAAATAGAATGGGTTGGCTCGACCGGGGGAAGATTACTCTCGGTACCACCACCAATAACGGTGACTTATTTTACTGGTAACGTGGTATTATATCTTATTCCACAAATGTATCAACGCATTTGCATTTAGATTCATAATTGAGGATAGACAAATGTCTACAGGCCGCACCATTCACTTACCATCAGGTGTGCGGTCGTTTGTCACCTCATTCTATAGAAACACCTGGCAACACGCCTGCCAAGCGTGGCAGCTGTGGCCAAGCGTGGTAAGTATTGTATAACCTAAGTGTAGCAGTGGACTTGTGATAGTATGCAATTATGGTGAGGATGATGAAGGGATAATATTTTTTGCGTATTGCGTATAAATTATTTGCTACAAAAACTCGCAACTATACTATCGTTAATAAAAATCAATAAAGACCTACTGTGATTTGTTATAAAAATTATTAAAATATAATTTTTATTTTTTAAATTTAAAATTTAAAAGCTGACTTAAACGTAATTTATTCAGATATTATATGCGTCTATATAATACAATGTAATTTTAATGTAAGTATAAATAATTCAAAACAAAACAGAACAACGACTCTAGGTAACAAGCGATTACTAAATATATAAATAATTAAATTACAAATTCACTCTACACTCTTTCTATGTAAAACCGACTGGAATAAACTCCGTTAAGTAATGTTTTCCATGAGGGCGGAACAAGTGGTTGTGAGAGGCTGGGCGGGCGGGACACGAGCGCTCCGGATCCGGACCAGCGCACAGGCGATACTGTCGGTGCCAGACTGCCAGATCCGAACACTGCAGCTTCACCTCTTTTTTTTCTATTACATCGGGCGGTGTACACATCGACTAAGTTTAAGTATCCGTACCTTTAAGCAATTAGGTAGGTATATAATTCATTTAATGCGTATGTTAAAAATTTGAGCTTAGTACATATATAAATTATTGCTTTATGTACACGAACGCAAGCTCTAACGATCATATTTACAATTTTATACCTATGAATAAATATTCATAAATAAAGTCACTGTGGCCCATTGATATTGACATTTATGCCCGATGCAGAATCAAAATGCAAATGCGTTATCACCCCTGAGGATTAAGATGAATGGCTCGTTACCAGTGAAGGCATCATAAAAAACACTTCATGAAGTTACTTTAGGCTGTCACAGAATAGTGAGCTCGCCATCCTTCTTTGGTCGAGCCAACCCATTCGCGCTGCAGACAAAATATAACTGCAGCGTGGCTCTACAATGTTTAAAATAGTCATAAAATTTAAAAAAAAGATCTTTATAATTAAATTAAAATTATAATTATAGATCTAAAAAGTTTCTTATTGTATTAAATTAATTTATGATTGATTTTAGAGCCGATTTTTCAATCCTCTTTTAAAATTCTCCCATAAAATAAAATATAACATAACCTTTTAAAGCTTTCAGTTGTATGTGATAAATAGTTCAATTGTTTCAGTTTTATGTTGCCGATTATAATTTATTGGGTGGATAAATTTAACTGTCGATTGGAAAATCAGCTCTGAATAAAATATTTAATATATGAAATATAGAGAATGTTTAAAAGTGTATCTAGCACAACATACACCATACGTGCAGGTTGATCCTAGTTATACCTGTAGATACTATTCCACAGCCTATTTTATACACTATTTTAGATTTTTGTCAAATATCGAAAAAATCATTATAGAGAATTTCATGGAAATAAAATTATATAAATTTTATTTATTTAGTCTATCAAAATTCTAGCGTATTTTGTGCGATTCCAAATATTCCTTTTTTCAACTCCCGATGCAAACCGACGGACGTTATATGTTTAACACGTGTGTCTTTGTACCTTTCAGCGACATTGTAGCTCCCAGGCGGATGAACCGATTTAGATTTCATTGTTTGTCGGAAAGATGACTTGATCAAATGTGTTTGTAACTATAATTCAAGAAATTCTTTTCAGGCCGTTTGAAGGTCCACAGCGCTGTTTGTTCCTGAATTTTTTTTTTATATTGTACGTTTATTTATATATATATATATATATATATATATATATATATATATTTTATATGCAGTTGAAAGTGAAATAAAGTTTGCTTAACATATAAAATTAATCATTCGATTATTAACGACCGAATTCGGTTATTTGTTCCTCGGGCGAGCACTACCTATTATTTAGGCACCTTATGACAATACATATTTTTAAGCAATTATTCCTTCCCACCATGACCCAGGTGGCAGGACCATGTTCCCGCCGAGGAGTTCATCAAGGTAGGTCACCACCCTCTTACCTGTTTCTAATAACAAATACCGGCTCTAGACTTACAGTGTTCTGCTCTGAAGAGTCTCAATGCCCTCAGTCTCTGTGGATCTTTGGGATCCAGTATTATTACAGACTGAGGCATTCCAGCTCAGTCCATCAGCGATGAAAACGCATCTGTAAACTTATTCGTTTAAAGATGGTTCTTATGCTGCGGTTGCCACTTTTCATGAGATGGACGGTAAATTTACTATAAAATTAATTTTAAAAAATATATAAAAATACTGTTATTACTATATATTTTATGAATACATGGTTGGAGAAGACAGGGTGTCGAGTGGCAACCACGTACCGATAAGTTAAGTGAAGGGCCGCCCCCCACCAGAGTGAGATATGCAGGAAGTGGATGGATGC